GGCTGCGGTTTGTAGAAGTTCTGTTTAGTGCCATTATCAGGCTTTTCTTCCTTTTCTGACTCTGGCTTTTCTGGCCCTGGTTGGTAAACTGGTTTTCTGCCATAATCAGGCTTTTCTTCCTTTCCTGACTCTGGCTGTTCTGGCTGTGTTTGGTAAACTGGTTTTCTACCATAGTCAGGCTTTTCTGACTCCACCGGCCCTGGCTTTTCCTTCTCTTCTGGCTGTGGTTTGTAGAGGTCTGGTTTTGTACCATACTCAGGCTTTTCTTCTCCTTCTGGCTTTGTACCATAATTATATGCTTGGTTTTTGGATGAATCATAATTGTAGTCATTGGCAGTAGCAATGACAAGCAGTGACAAAAGAAGCAAGGAGCCAGCGAACAAGGGAGCGGTGATAGCCATGTCTAAGACTGTAACTATGTTAATGTAAGCACGAAGTGCATGGGCATTGGGCAACTTTCATTGCCTTTTATACAAGAAGGTTGGTGTCATTTGCCAATGATTAAGAAATAAAATAAACAGTGCTTTGGATGATATGATTGCACGATGGCAGAGCGATTTGCAGACTTGGGTGGCACTAACTAATATTACATGAACGTGGTCATAGACAACTGTATTTTTGATAATCACGTACATAAACCAGTGCTTGGAGCCTTGGACGGACAGTACGTTGGACAATCTTTGATTTGAGTGATTTAGGCAGTTGAATAAAGCAACCCCAGTTTCTTGGCTTGAGATTGACGACCTATTCAATCTCATTTCTTGGAATCAGTATTCATCATACAATGCGTAACAATTTTTGTTTTTCACATGAAATTGTGTGTTTCCACATTTTCTTAATTACAGGCTGTAAGCTAGTGGACAAGTATTCCTTCACTCTTTTTTTACATGAGTTATTATACACATTTTCCTACCATTTTTGGAACCCTTTTTATATATGATCATTTTTATATACTTTTCCTAGGGATACAAAATTATTGCAAACCAACCAGGCAACTGGAGAAGTATTTGAATTCGACGTTACTCAACTTTGTTTACTAAATAGAAAAAATAGTTAAGATTAAAACCCATTATTAAACTGAGGTCTAAATATAATTATCTAAAATTCATAAACTATAAGTATATAATAGGATTTAAATAGTACTATATTTATTATATATCGAATTATATTTATACATATAAATAAATGTTTATATAAATGCCTTCCAAAAAAAATGTTTATATAAACAACATTAATTCTTAATGCAATAATTTAGCATGCAAATACTAAAACTTTATTTCTTTATTTTCACAAATGAATAGATTTTTTACGGTCATTTGAGTTTAAATCTACACACATTAAAAGTTTTTTCAAGAAATAATTGACGACCTAATTGTTGGCCACATGGCATGGTCTATTGAGCCTTTGGACATGGTTGTGATCATTGAAAAAGTCAAGGTTTTTTTATGATTTTTGTGTTTTTGAGGTCATGGTATTTTCGTATTTTCCATATGCCATGGTTTCAAAATTTTCTTCTCTTTCGTGTAGTGTTCTCTTACTTTCTCTTTTGGATAAAGTAAGATTCAATGAGAAACTAGAGTGAGAAAAGAAGAGAGAGGAGAGATAAAGAGTTAAGAGTACGAACAAAGAAAAGAAAAATAACTATAATTTTTAATTTGTGATTTTTTTAATTGATTGAACAGATTCTCTCTTATTTTTTTCTTTTCTTTTATATTTTATTTTCTTTCTCATTGTTTTATCTTTTAATTATTTATTTTATTTATTTTATTTTAATTTATGCATTAATTCAAATTTATGAAATTAGTTTAAAAAATTATAAGAATAAGAAAATAAATAATTGAAAATTAATTCCATAAATTTTTTTGTTTATATTGTTTTTATTATTTGGGTTTTTATTATTTTTTTATAATATTATTGGTTTCAAACAAAAACCAGAAACTTTGATGTAAGTTTCTAATTTGCTTTCTTTTTATCTCATTTGATTTGTTTATTCAAGTTTTTATTATTTAGATTCATTATTATTTTTATTTTTATAATATTATCACTTTCATACAAAAATTAAAAACTTTTTAAGTAAGTTTCTAAATTTTTCTTTTTAAGTAAGTTTCTAAATTTTTCTTTCTTTTTATCACATTTGATTAATTGTGTCATTATACTTCTCTATTATAGACAACAATCTACTTGAACCTTTGTAAGATTGAGTTTAGGGTTTTTTTTTTGTTATTTTTTCACAGTTTTATAGAGGATGGAATGCTTATTGTCATTATTGAAAAGAAGATACACAAAGACCAAATGTTGAGGTCGTTGAAATGTTAGTTATTTATTATGTATTTTATGTGTTCCTAAATTGTATATTGCAGCTTACATTCACAATTCTTAAAATAGATTACCACTTAAACAATTATGTAACTTTTGATCTTTCCTGTATACATTGCAATTGACAAATAGCTTCATGATCATTTATGTAAAATGAGCACTAGAAATATAGATATATTTGAATAAACATTACTTTACCTATATTACAAGAGTGCATCGCATGGGCCTATTCTAATATATTATTGACTTTGAATTTAAAGACCAGTTTGACAGATGTATTAAGTATTAAGGATCAAGTCTAATCTAACTAATTGTAATCTTCAACTTATTATTATATAGGTGGCAATTGTACAAGTTTGAATAAAATTGCCTTAAGGTTTGAGTTATTTTAGATTTAGATCCATTTCAAATTTAGATTATCTAGAGTTCAAATTAGGGGTGAGTCTTCGGTTAAATCGATTAAAGAATACCATTAACAAACTTAAATGACTTTCTTTAAAAAAATTAACAATCAAACTGATTTAACAACTTTAATCAACTTTAAATTAATCGACTTTAATCGGTTAAATTTGTTTTAACCGATTTAATTTTTTAACCTTTTTCTATTTTTTTAATTTATTTAATAATATATTGATAATGTACTTTATGTTACCACATATTACACTACTACTTATAATTTTACTAATATAGTAGTATAATACATTATTAATATATAATTTTTGACTAATTATACTTGTTATACTATATATTGATTAATTAGTGTATTAATAAGTATACTATCTATAGTGTATTAAGATGTATATTATATAATGTATAACTGTAAACAATATATACTATATTAATTTTTACTATATGTAATTATCTACTATATATGTCTACTGTATTGATAGATATTATATATTGTGTGTATCTATATACTAATACAATGTATATTGTATTCATATATTGCTATATATAGTTGATATTTACTTATATAGCATATAAGTATACTAAGAAGTCATATAATATATATACTATACAATAGTATATTGTTATATATAATAGTAAATTTTTATTAACTAATTAGTATATTAATAAATATACTATGTAATATATATAATATATTGTTATATATTATAATATAGTTAAGTATTAATATAAGTTATATTACTATAAAATACTAATATTAATATAAGTTATTTTAGTAATATAAGTTATACTATAGTAACATTAATATATTAGTATATATTAATAAGTTACTATATTCAATTATTAATATTAGTTATATATACTACTAAAGTACATTAATATTAAGAATTTAATATAACTTACTATAGTAATATAAGTTATACGTTTATTAAAAATTTATAAAAAAATAAGTTACTATAGTCTATAGTCTATATAGTATAAATTATACATTGCATATTAATAAATATACTATATATAGTATAAATAGTCTAATATATATTAATAATTTAAGGAAAAAATAAATTAATCTAATAAGTTATATTAATAACTTAAGTTTAGGGTATAGTTTTCATTATAGTTTGCATTAATTTTACATCAATTTTGTATGGTTATATTTATAAATATTCAATAATATTAATGTCTAAATAAAGTGTATTTTATTTTTTATTTTTTGATGATTAAATATAAATCATTTATTCATATACAGGTATAGAAAAAATATGTGAGTTAACACATCTAAGAAAATCCCTCTTGATGATTAAATCTAATCCTTCATTCATATATATGTATTGAAAATCAATGTGAGAGCATGTAATAAAAACCTAAATCTTTTAGTGACTCTAACTGATAAAACTGATTTAACCAAAATTTTTAATTGATTTATTCATATTAACCGGATTAACTGAAACTGAAATAATTGAATTTATAGGTTAATTTAGTTGATTTGGTTTTGACCAAATTTTGCTCGCTCCTAACTCAAATCATCTTGAGTTCAAATCATTTTTTATCTGATCAATTGTCTTGAATTTGGGTGATTCAAATGAATTTTAAGTCTTTTTGAGATTCATATGATTGATAGACATTTTCATAAATTTGAATACAATAAATAATTTCAATTTTTCTTAATAGATGTTATATCAATATTATTGATTAATTTAAAAAATTTAAGATAAAAATAACCTAAAATTTGAAATTTAAAAAATTTGATAAATATTTGTATAAATATAAATGATATTATAATTTTTCTATACTTTACGGTCGCTATTAATATTTTGTGTGCTTTTATTTTTATCTTTTATAACTTTTTAAGAGTATTCAACTTTTCAGATATTTCTTATATATAATTATAGCTTTTGTTTGGACATAAATTAGAAACACCAACATTAGATATGATTATATAGACATGTTCAATCGGAGTGAAAAGCGGATATAATTTAAAAGTGGATCATGCCATATCAATTCAGTCAATGCCCATGTCGGATTTTATGAGATAAATAATTATGGACATTTTGATACTGAACAGCATACTTGTGAAATGCTAGCAATTTTGTTTAGAAAAAGAGAAAAAATAAAACAGTATAGTGTGCAAAAAAGGAAAAAAAATTAATAAATTTTTAATACAGCAAAGCTCTTTACGTGTTTCTGGTAGAGGCTGGCAATCTTTAGCCCATGCACCAAGAAATCAATTACAAAACAAGAAATAATCCATCGAAGAAAGAAAAATTAATGAAGACAGAAAAAAAAAATCAAAACCCCACTTGCCAATCGTTAATCCAAAAACAGAAGATAAACATTAAGCTGTTTAATAACCATTAGAGACTGAGTTAGCTTCATCGGTGAAGAAGAAGGGTCCCACGGAGTAAAGTTTCATCCTCTTCTGATTGAGAACTCGGAAATCAGAAAGAGGAGCGCCGCCAAGGCCTTTGTTGACATCCACCGGAACATTACAGGTCTCCGATGGGGAGCTTTCCAGAAATGCCTTGCACTCTGTGAGCTTCAACTGACTGTGGTCGTCAAGGCCTAAAGGAGACAATGGAGCAAAGAAGTAACCTTTTGCATCGGTTTCTCCTCTGCAAACAGAGTGAGATTTCTCGTACCCATTCTCGTCAACAGCCAGACATGTTATCCGCACCAAAGCTCCTGTGCTCATGGAAAAAAAAATTGAGCAAAACCATGGTGAGTTGAAACTTTAATTACAAACGATCTTAAAAATGTGTCTTAATACAATGACACTATTAAAACAACAACATTGTCTTATTATGCATGCTTAAATTATAATTATCTGTGAATATTACCTTGAATTGGATTATACTTAGGACCTGATTTACATAGAACAAGCCCTTGAACGCCAATGGGGAGAATTTCAGGCTTTAGTGGATACAAGTCTGGAACCTCTATGCCATAATGATCAGCATTTTCTTCTCCTTCCGGCTTTGGTTTAGCAACGTATGGTTTTCCACCATAACTAGACTCTTCTTTTTCTTCTGATTTTGGTTCGTAGGAATCTGGCTTGGCGCTGTAATTTGGTTTTTCTACCTCGTCTGATGACTCTGGCTTTTTGTTTTCTTCTGGCTGTGGTTTGTAGAAGTCTGGCTTAGTGCTATAATCAGGCTTCTCTTCCTCTTCTGACTCTGGCTTTTCTTTTTCTTCTGGCTGCGGTTTGTAGAAGTTCTGTTTAGTGCCATTATCAGGCTTTTCTTCCTTTTCTGACTCTGGCTTTTCTGGCTGTGGTTGGTAAACTGGTTTTCTCCCATAATCAGGCTTTTCTTCCTTTCCTGACTCTGGTTTTTCTGGCTGTGTTTGGTAAATTCGTTTTCTGCCATAATCAGTCTTTTCTGAGTCTACTGGCTTTTCCTTGTCTTCTGGCTGTGGTTTGTAGAGTTCTGGTTTTGTGCCGTGCTCAGGCTTTTCTTCTCCTTCTGGTTTTGTACCATAATTATATGCTTGGTTTTTGGATGAATCATAATTGTAGTCATTGGCAGTGGCGATGACAAGCAGTGACAAAAGAAGCAGCGAGGTAGTGAACAAGGGAGCTGTGACAGCCATGTCTAAGACTGTAAGTATGTTACTGTAAGCACGATGAGAAGAAATACAATAGGGTGAAGTGCATGGGCATTGGGCAACCTTCATTGCCTTTTATATACAAGAAGGTTGGTGTAATTTGCGAAGGATTAAGAAATAAAATAAACAAGGCTTAGGATGATTTGATTGCACGATGACAGAACGATTTGCAGACTTGGGTAGCACTAACTAATATGACATGAACATGGTCATAGACAACTGTAGTTTTCTATAATCACGTACATAAACCAGTGCTTGGAGCCTTGGACAGACAGTACATGGGACAATCTTGGCTTGAGATTGGCGACCTATATAATGTCATTTGTTGGAAATCAGTATTCATCATACACTAAGTGTCAATTTTCATTTTCACATGGAATTTTGTGTTTATGCATTTTATTAATTACAAACTGGAAGCTAGTCAAAAAGTATTCCTTCTCTTTTATATATATATATATATATATATATATATATGTGTGTGTGTATGACGTGACTAGATGAGTTATACACATTTTCTTACCATTTTTGAAACCTTTTTATATATGAACATTTTCGTACATTTTTTTTATAGGGATGCAAAATTATTGCAAACCAACCAGGCAACTCAAGAACTATTTGAATTTGAATTTACTCAACTTTATTTGCTAAATGGAAAAAAGTGTTTAGATTAAGACCCATTATAAAACTGAAGTCTAAATATAATTATTTAAAACTCATAAAGTATAAATATATTATAAGATTTAAATAGTCCCATATTTCTTATATATTAAATTATATTTATACATATATATATATGATTATATAAACAACATTAATTCCTAATTAAATAATTTAGCAGGCAATTATTAAAAATTTATTTCTTTATTTTCATAAAAAAATAGATATTTTCATGCTCAATCGAGTTTAAATATATCATCAGATGAATTTGACTTTGAATTTAAACACCAGTTTGATAGGTGTATTTATGATCAAGTCTAATCTAACTTGTAATCTCCAACTTATTATCTATAGGTGGCAATAGGATGAGTTTGGGTCGAGTAGTCTTCATGTTCGAGTTATTTTAGATTTAGATTTATTTCAAATTTGGATAATTTTAGGTTCATATTGTTTTGGGTTCAAATGATTTTGGTTTTGAATAGTCTCAAGTTCGAGTGATTTCAAATGAATTTTTATGTCATTTTGTGATTTATATAAATTATAGATATTTTATAAATTTGACGACAGAAAATAATTTCTATTTTCACAATAGACGTCAAATCAATATTATTGATTAATTTAACAAATTTAAGATAAAAATATGATAAAATTTTGAAATTGAAAAATATTTGTATAAATATAAATATAAATAATACTATAGTTTTTTTATATTTTATACTAATTACTATTGATATTTTTGCGTACTTTTATTTTTATCCTTTTAAAAACTTTTTAATAGTAGTATTCAACTTTTCAAATATTTCTTCTTATACATAATTATATCTTTTGGTTTGGACATAAATTAGAAACACTAACATTAGATATAATCATATAAAAAATGGTCAATCAGAGTGAATACTGGATATTATTAAAAAAAAGCACCAATTACCACTCACAAAGAATACTAACTTAAAAAATATATATCATTCAACGGTCAATTAATTGACGTACATTAATGCTTAGAAATTATAAAAAGTCCAAAAAATCATGATACTTAAATATAATTGCTATAATACTATTCTAACTTTAATATTTGATCATTTTTGTACTTTGATATTAATCGAGAAGAAAGATACTTTGGTTTTTTAATTAATAATGTAATAAATTTAATTGATCAATTAATTTGCATGACATTAATTAAAGTTTAAAATTCAAACATTCAATCTTGAAAAGGTTGGAGATATTGTTTATATAATTGTACAATAACGATAAATGATATTATTTATTAAATTTTAAAAATTATATTTTAAAAATTAATCATTTTATCATTTACTCATTCACTCATTTAAAAAAATATTTAATTATAGTTTAAATATTTTAAACAAATTTAAATTTTTACAAGTTTTTAATTGGATCAGTTTCAAGATTCCAATAGTTGCAGGTTAAAGTTGCTTCATGTTGAAGTTGTTTCAAGGTCTAAGGGTTTTAAGTTTGGATTCCTTTGATTTCTTATTTTTAATTTTTTCAAATATTTCAGATTAGATTGAATTCTATCTCTGCTATATTTGGTCAATGTACACAAATTCAAATAAATATGTAATAATCAAGTTCAAATTTATTTTATAACAAGTTTATTCGCTTATATTTCAAACGTATAATGAGAATTATGCTATAAAGTTGAGGAAAAGAATTGTAAGTTTGACAAAATTCATGTTAGGGGTCCACAATTGAAAGCCAGCATCACCTCGCTTACGTGACCAGCAAGTCAACCATCATCGGCATGCCCACGAGTTAAGCCATCCGATGTGCTTAGTGGTTTTCCCTCTTCATCAACTTGTTAGTTTAGCACTGGCGACAATTAATTATTCATGGGTGAAATATTGCTTACGGCCACTGTCAGTTTATGCTTGCTGTCTTGTTACTGTCAAGATTAACTGTTCTTGCCGTTGATTTTTAACTAATGGACTCACCAATCTTTGCCTAATGAATTCAAGTGCACATATTTAATTAATTTTATTACGTCTTCTCTATTACTTTATTGACCTCAAAGTGTCAATTGTTTCCCCGCATTTACCCAATTTCAGGTTGAGGCAACATAGTTGCCTAATTTAAACCAAAAGCACTGGTCTATAAGCGTAAGCCTCCGCTGTTTAATTTATAAATACCTAATTTAATCTTTAATAATTCATTAATTAAAAAGAACTAAATGATGATGATGATGATGATAAGTGTATAGAAAAGTAACTAATAAAAAGTCGTAAGCACTTCCTTCTTTCCTTGTTTTTTTTTTTTTTAAAAATTATTTTCTATGCATATGAAACAACTATTTTCATTAGTTCTGGAAGGAATCAATAGCTTCTATAATAAATCTACAAAGGATAGGAACTATGGACCTGATGGTCTAATATATTGATCCAGAATTTTCCTCCGAAAGAAAATTCCAATCTCGAAATGTAAGCAAAGCATGGAACAAAAGCTCATGCAGCCTCCAATTGACATCCATTCCCCAAAGTACTATTAAACTACCACTTGCTTAAATCATTTGCAGCCATCTTACTTTATCTAAACAACTAATCCTTATCCTTTAGAGGTCCAAAGCTTAGACTTCACTCTATTCTCAACTCGATCCCTTGTCGGTCAAATGCCTGTCTCAAATGATGATACGAGGAAAATGTTCATCTAAAACCAGACCTTCGAGTATTTGCTAGTTGATCATCAATAAATAAATAAATATAGCTTTAGCCTTGGTGGCTTAATATGTCTTTGATTTATCAAACAAGAACAAAAATTAAGAATCATCAATCATTCCTCCATTTCTAACGAGATCAGATTTAATAAATAAAGTTTTAAATGAGTGTTGAAAAATATTTTTATAATTATTAATTATATTCTTTTAATGTATTAAAAATCATCACTTTAATTGTCAACTATTTCATTGTACGAAAATGTTACAGTAAATTTTAAACTGTCCGCATGACACTTGTTAACAAAATTCTAGTAATATTAATTGTTTTCAAACTTTTAATTTTGATTATTAAAAGATGAAATTTTATAATGACAAATTTAATAAATGCAATCAGAATTGGTCAGTGGCAATGATTTTGTGAAAGACTGATTAGAATATTTAGAAAACAATATCCTTAGAATAATCAAAATCTCAAATTCAGATCCTTTATTTTTAATATTTTTTCTCATTCTAATACTAAGCATAATGCTTTCAAAATCTCCTAAATTCATTTCTATAATTACATTCAATTAAATTCCTCTATTTTTATTTTAGAGTATATAGATCTTTTTGATTAATAATTAATTAATTATCATTAGTTAAAATATCACTTATCGTTTGTTATATCACATAACATAATATTGATAAAAAAATGAAAACATCACATGATCATATCATCAATTCATATCGACAGACAACATAATCATTTATTATAACATGTTAATATGTTATGACCTGACATAAAATAATATTTGATACTTTAATTAATAATTAATAATTAATTATAAGAGTTTGTTTAAATGAAAATAAAAATACACAAATTGTCTTACATTCAATAAAATATAAAAATTTATTTAAATTTTTTGAATAACTTTTTTTTTTGAATGTTATGCTTGTTAACCTATAATTGTATGTTTAACTTACCTCGATGTCACTTCTCATTTGTTATATCACATAACATAATGTTGATATAAAAAATAAAATCACCACATGATCATATCATCAATTTATATCGACATACCATATAATCATTTATTATAATATGTTAATATGTTATGACGTGACATAAAATAATATTTGATACTTTAATTAATAATTAATTATGAGAGTTTGTTTAAAGGAAAATAAAAATACACAAATCGTATTAAATTCAATAAAATACAAAAAATTATTTAAATTTTTTGAACAATTTTTTTTTTAATGTTATGCTTATAACCTATAATTGTATGTTTAACTTACCTCGATTTCACTTTCTATAAAATTGGGATAAAAAAAAATTGCTCGCCACGCAAGACCCAAGTAACGCTAATAAAATTCCAAAAATAGTGCGTTTTGTACGATGAAATCAAACTTAAAACACTGTACATAAAATGAAAAAGCGACAAAGGGCCGGTAAATCTCAGGAAAGTTCAAAATCCCCGACTTGTATTCACGTCGCGCACCCTCTCTGCTTTTCCACCCACTACTTAAACCCAGCTTCTCCTCTTCTTATCTTCATTCTTCACTTTTTCAAAAATACCTTAAAACCCTTCTTTCTTATTCCTTCGACTTCGAGATTTTCTTAAACCCTTATCTTTTTTTTGAGATTTTCCTAATTACCACTCTTAAGTTTCCCAAAGCAGTCATAACCCTGGTCAAGTAGTTCATTTTTTTTTTGAAGAAATGTGTGGCGGTGCTATCATCGCTGAATTCATCCCTCGGAATCGTGGCCGCCGCGTCACCGCTTCTGACCTCTGGCCTTTCGCTAAAATCAATGGCTTTAGCTCTGATCTGAGTCAACCCAAACCTGATGATTCATTCTCCCACTTCAAAAGACCCCAACCCCAACCATCCTTAGGTACTATTATTTCCTTTCCTGCTTTTGCCCATTGGTTTTCATTTTCATTTCTAAACTTTCATTTACTTGCGGTTTCTGATTGTTGAAATTTGTTTTTAAACAGGTGATGAGCAAGTGGAGAAGAAAGCAAAGAGGCAGAGGAAAAACTTGTACAGAGGCATAAGGCAACGACCCTGGGGCAAATGGGCAGCAGAGATTCGCGACCCCAGGAAAGGTGTTCGTGTTTGGCTCGGCACTTTCAACACCGCCGAAGAAGCAGCCCGAGCTTACGACAGAGAGGCCCGCAAAATCCGGGGCAAGAAGGCCAAAGTTAATTTCCCCAACGAAGATGACGCCTTCTCCACCGAATATAATCTCAAGCACTCCAACAACCATCAAATAAATAATAACCATAACTCAGCTGCTGGCTGGAATCCCAGCCCTAACTCAAATCCCTCTATTTACCAACAGCCCAGTAATAATAATCTCAGCAATTATGGATTCAATTATGACTTGAACCAAATTGGCGGTTATGCAACTGACCGGATTGTTATATCTGGAGAGGAAAATTCAGGGTCTGGATCAGAAGGGGTCAACTCCGGTGATCAGAATGTGAATTTTCGTTACGTCCCAATGAAAGCGGAAGAAGAAGAGAAACGAGAAGCGCCAGTGAATGAGGCCGTGGCGGAAGTTCAAGACGATGATATCGAAGTGCAGAAACTGTCTGAGGAACTCATGGCGTACGAGAATTACATGAAATTCTATCAGATTCCGTATCTGGATGGGCAATCGGCAACCCAAAATGCCGTAGCTCCGCAGGAGAGTGTTGTCGGCGAACTTTGGAGCTTTGACGATGATGGCATTGCTGTACCTGTGACATCATCAACGGCTATGTGAACGACGTGTGTTTACTGGTTTTTTGTTTTTTTTTTAACTTGGTTGATCTTTGGGTGGTGTAAATTGGGTGGGAATCGATGATTTTGGTCATTAGTTCTTACTTTGTTTTCCTTAATGATGTAAGCTTAATTTTGTGAATTAGGACTAGACGAACTTCCATATAATTCTCAAATTTGTTTCTTTGTGTTCAAAATTATGAAATACAATTTTTCTTGAATGTTTTTCACGCCGCTTGTCACCTCATTGATATTGTTAAAGAGGCATTTTACTTGCCCGTCTTTAGACTCAAAATTTTCTGCACGATATGGGATCACAAAAGAACTCTGGATTTTGTCCACATAATGTAAATAAATACAGTTAAAAGAAATTTTCTTTTGATCACTTAACTTATATTTAATAGTTTAACTTCTGGTGTAATAAAAAAAAGAAAATAGAAGATGAGGAAGAATTTTTAGAATGCCAGGAACGCGCATGGGTCCCAAATGTCAAAAGCCAAGCACGAAACGTGTGCGAGTAGGTGGAAGGAGGAGGACGCATCAAAATTGGCAGGGATGTTGGTAAAGTGAAAGGGACAGATAACCAGGCAATCCAAGCTGCGGCGCTGGCTGTTTTGCGGTTACGGTTTTCAGCTTTCAATCTCTGTCTGAAACATTACATCGTGTCCACCTGACAGGCTCGTTTTCGGCTCCCGGTTTGGAGCCCATTGATTGAGCTTTAGAGTCTTGTACTTTTCACCTTCTTCTTCTTCTTCTACCAAAAACGTTTCCTAGTTCGTAGTTGTAGTACGCAAGTGCACATGTACTGCGCCTAAAAATTCATCGCTAAAATATGTAATAGGCCACTAGGGCAGTAGGACATACGTTCATAGTACCAATAACCGCGTGGCTTGCCCACCACGCTTCACATAGCTTCACTACTCCATTTATTTTAATTTTCATTTTCTTAACCTTTTTCATAAATTCAATTCAGTAAAAGTTGTCCACATTCATTCCAAATTAAAAAAGAACAAGGTAAAAGGGTGAAATGGTCAAAAAAAGAGGAAATTCGTCTATTAGCCTATTTTCTAATCCAAAAAAGAAATCTAAAGTTTTACTGTGTATTAGGCGCATGAACATGTCAATATGTAGTTCTGTTCTCTTTTAAGGAATATTTATGTATAGTCTTGGCTGACGTTGCTTAGTAATGTCTTTAATATATAAGTTTAACATAATCCATAAAAGAATTTACCTCTGTATGCATTACTTTTTTCCACAAATTTTATGTGACGGTGAAAGTGAACGCTCTGTTCCATTTTCTAGACTATGAGAAAATTCATTGCCCTTGGACCAGGATCTTGATTTGAGGAAAAAGTCTCCTTGAAGGACAAGGAGTAGATAAATTCTTCTTCTTCTTTTTCCATTGTTTTTTCTATTCTCTCTCCCGCGCAGCAACTTGTCTTTGCATAATAACAAAAGCAATCATACAGTACTAGAATATTACTACTATCTTTTCATAATTTGTTCTTTTCGTACAGAGTAGAAGTATCTTTTCGGCTTCTTCAATGTTCATGAAGTCTTTGAAAGTCGCTGGATAAACACCTGGGCCGTCTGATTTCTGAGTGAGCTCAGAACAATTCTATTATTGGGTCTGTCATCTGAAATAGCCTGATGGGTTACACATTATGCAACAGGGCCCAAATTTCTAACTACACAAAGAACCCAAAACCGAAGGTGCTGAATTTCAGACTTACCATGGATTACTGTTGGCAGTAGTAGTAGAACTAAGATTTCATGTTTTAAAAAATGCAAATAATATTTATAAAATAATTATATTAAAAATATAATGTTTGTAATGATAAAATTATAAAATTTTAAAAAAAGTAAAAGTAAAATTAAAAAATTAAAAAAATATGTAAAAAGGTAGTCCTTTCTACACAGATAACGGACTGAGATTCGAGTTCCTGATTGAGAGTAAAATGAAATCAAATTAGGATCACTAAACATGCAAGTTTCTGGACGTGGGTCTTACCAGATGTCCAAAAATGGTAACAGCAGCATGGTAGTGACATAGACAGTAAATGAAGTGATCAAGTCACAAGCTTTGTGGTTTGTATATGATGCTTCAGTTTGCTGTCACTCCCCTACGTAGTCCATGTCCAGACTAGCATTTGAATTATGAGCATAAGTTGAGGTGTTCTTCGAATTTAAGTAACCTTTGTGGTAATAAATTAATAAAGCTGCAGCAGCAAGCCTGTAACCTAAAAATGTACTTATCTTATAAATACCAGAGCCCAATTCGGATATAATCAAGCAATATGAGACTACTATGTTTTCACTAAACGAACTACACAGAGTGATCCCATTTCAGAGTGAAAGTATAAGCAAACTTTGTTACAAAACGCTGTTCTGATCATTTTTTCTGAGATAATTTTCCCATATACCCCTCATTCCAAGAAAAATTAACCCCACTCTGTTTGCTTTAGAGGAGGCAAAGAGTTTCTTAAGGGTCTAACACTTGGTTTCGACTTAATAATTAGACACTTCGGAGTGAAAAATGTAGTAATTTATTACCTAGTATAGCATGCTGCACCCTGTAGGAAGTCCCACTCAACTCACTCTCAATATATGTAGCAATCAGCATCCTTCCTTTCCATGTATTACTTCACAGAATCGCATAAAAGTGTCTATACTTTGAAATGTTTGAAAGGAAGCATTCAAACAATTGAGGGTGTCAAACTAAAGCACTAAAGCCACGTTTTGGCTCAACCGTAAGGATTGATGATTTACTCTGTGCACCTTATCTCCTCTGTGGATCTTCCCATCAGTTCAGTTATCATTCAATTTATAGATACATTGATGGCATTAGTACTTTGCAAAGAGAGTTCTTGTGAATTGGAAGAGAAAGTGTTGCAAACAAATAAAGAATGTATTGGAGGTAACAGAAAGGAAATTAGAGTAGTTCCTGAAATATCTGAATGTCGTGGTAGGTGGAAGAAAACAAAAAGAGAATAGGTAGACAATGTATAAGAAGGTTAGAAAGAGAAGCTCTGAATTAGAGTAAGGTAGTTCTGAAAAGTGAAAGTCCATCAAATGAATTGTGAAAGTTCTGTATATAGTGCTCGAAGTGATGATTACTCGAAAATAGGTTTTAATATGCATAATGAATGGCATTATTATGAAAAGTTTTAAGATGAGTAGTCGTTATTGTAATCTATTATGTAGATATTAAAATAATGATTTTATTGCATATAAAGAATAACGGTTAGAAACTTAATATGTGATCGTTGAAATAATTTAGTGTAATAAGATTGATTTTCGAGTAATAAAAAAGAGGTATAAATAAAAAACTATATGAGAACAAATTAAGAGAAGAAGGTGTATATGAATAAGTATAAGAGAAATAGGTAAGAGAGAGAAATACTTATACTTCAAAAAAAAATTAGGAAAACCTCTTAACTACTTGCACATTTGAACCACCAAACTAAACTCTCTGAAATATCCCAAGATGAAAGTAATATATGAACCCTATCACTTATTTCAAATTATTTTCACTATCATCTATATGAAGTGATTATTTTGTGGGAAGTAATTATTCTATTTGTATTAGTTGTTCTACATAGAATAATGCTTCACTTATTCAAGTTGTTTCATATGAAGTAGTAATTCACTTTTTTTAATTGTTTTACGTGAAATAGTGCTTCACTTGTAATGATTGTTTTCATTATTCTCTGTATAATATTATACTATAAAATAATTCTTTAGATAATAAATATTAATCAAAATCAAGTATCTATATACTTCAACCTCTTCTTAACCCAATTAAGAATATTTTTTTCTCTTTTTAAGCTAGCTAGGTGCTTTTAATACCTTTTTTCTGCTATGAAGATCAACACAAACCATTCCTTTAGAAACTATTAGTCTATTCTTCAACATCCCTCTCCTTTGGTAGAGTCCCTTCAACATTATGCAACAAAAAACTTATTGGAGCCCGTTACTTTAACAACAGTTATCAAAACAATCTCTGACGAAGCAAAGAAAACAACCTCACATTTGCTAGAGACACCATTGACCATGGCGCCCATACTGCCTTCACCGCAGCAGGACATGCTATCACCAATGCCTCTTTTGTTGGATTCGTGAGTGGAAACGTTGTTAGAATTGCTCAGAAAGCTAGAATAGTTGTGTATAAAGTTTGTTGGGAGATTGGATGCATGAACTCAAATTTTCTTGCTAGCTTGGATAGGATCGCTGACGATGGTGTTGATGTGGTATCGATGTCCTTTGGAAATGATGAACCATTGCCGTATGAAACTGACGTCCTGGCCATGGCTTCTTTTGGTGCAATAAAGAAAGGCATTTTCGTGTTCGGTTCTGCAAGGAGTTCTGGTTCCATTTCTTAAACCGTCACCGATATTACTCCTTAGATTACCACCATTGGTGGAAGTACCATTGATAGAAAATCCCCACTGACTTGTATCTCGATGATGGTACCATTATCACCGAATATTTGCTTTGTAATGGGGATGACTTGATTAATGCTTATTGGCCATTGATTTACGCAAGAAATGCATCATTTTATGAAAGTAGTACTTTCTTTTTGCTGCTGCTTGTTTCCCCGATTCAATAGACCTAAAGTTCGTATAGGATAAGATCGTGGTGTGTGATTGTGGCGTTGTTACATGTGTTTTAAAAGAATTGGTGGTGATGATAGCTGGTAGGGTAAGGATGGTGGTTGCCAACGTGCCACCTTTGGGGGAAGGTTTGGTCGCTGATGCTTATTTGATGCCTGTGTTGGCCTAATCGAAATTAGCTCGAGTTAACCTTTTTGCTTACATGGCATTTGCCCAAAATTCGACGACCACGATGGCATTTTGTGGGATCCAAATTGGGGTCAAATCGGCTTCAGTAGTGGCTCATTTCTCTTCCCGTGGGCCTAATCAGATTTCAATAAATGTTAAGGAACCTGATCTGATTGCATCAGGTGTGAACATCCTAGCAGCTTATCCTGATGGTGTTCTGCCATCAGAATCACATGCAGATCCGAATCGCACTCAGTTTAACATAGAATCAGGTACTTCCATGGCCTAACCATATGTTTTAGGCATAGTTGCTCTTCTAAGAAGGGCTCACCTTGAGTGGTTTCTAGCTATGATATAATTAGCTTTGATAACCACTACTTACACCCATGATCAAGATGGCAATACATTGCTAGATGAGAAGGATTTGAATGTTGGTAACTCTTGGGCCATGGGAACGAGACACGTGGACTTACATTTTATCTTTTGATAGGCATAACACTTAGGTTTTAAACATTTTGTCACATTTATAACCTAGAATAAATTTTGTAAACAATAAACTATTATGATCATATCATATATGTCATATATTTATAAAATATCTATTAAAATATAATATATGTGAAATAATAAATTAAGCTTCTCAATCGACCATAGATGTAAAACAACCTCTACTTTTTTAATTCTCTTCCATTTATGAAGAACAAAACCTTTCGGATTCAAAATTCTTTTGGGTAATTAAATTTTGGACTTCTCTAAGGCCAATCTAAAACCAATCTTTGTTTCAGTTTAAATGGCCCATGACTTATCGTTTGGGTTCCCGGGGGCCAGAAGATTTAACCAGGACAGGTGGAAAAACCCATCACCCGCTAATGTTAAAACCCAGACCCCGAACCTGGTCCAAACAGGAGGCAAAGCCGGCACCTCCAAACCCTAGGATTAAGGAGGTCGTATAAAGCAGCCGCTATCACGTCTTTTTTATCCTTCTCTGCTAACAGCAGCCAGCTGCACAAAGGGGACGGGGAGAGATGGTTTCGCTTAAGCTCCAGAAGCGGCTCTCTGCGAGCGTTCTAAAGTGCGGAAAAGGAAAAGTATGGCTTGATCCAAATGAGGTCAACGAAATCTCCATGGCCAACTCCCGTACGTCTTTTCCTCTCTTCCTAACGTTTATCATTTTTATATTCAAGCAGTTTTAAGTTTTAGATACAGTTTAGACTTGATTAGCATCGTTTGTTGGCCAAATAAAATGGTGGAAATGAAGCTTAGAGCTTTCCACTTTATTTTACTTCTTAAACTGGGGTTTAAGAACCTGCTGGAAAAATTAAAGTTGCGTCGCTGAAGTTCAAATTTTTAGGGCTTGAATCTAACAATAGCTGCTGCATTTCAATCTAAAGCCCTGTTTTTTTTCTCCGTTTTATTTAGGGATTTAATACCGCTAAGCTTTATATAGTTTGCGGAGATGACCTTTAGCTTATTCGTTGAATTTATGAATTTCGTTATTATTCATTTGTTTACTATATCCAAAGCTTCTACTTGAAAAAGAAAGAAAGGATACATTCTGTGTGGTGATTCCTTCAATTAGCCTCAGGGGTTACTAGTTTTTCTGCCTTAGGAAAATCAAATTTTCAAATAATATGGTTTTCTGTTTCATCTTTGTATACCGTGGAGTAATAGAGTGCAATTGAAGCAGCCCCCTTTTTCTAATCATTCGCCAAGTAAATAAGTAATATACTTTTTAAGTAAACACACGGTTAATTTGCTGTTTGCTCCACTGATATATGGAAAAAGGAAAACTGTAAACTGCAAAAATTGATTTTGCAAATCCTGATTATCGTGTTCAAGTTGATGCAATCTCTTGCTGATAGGAGATTGAATATTCAATGGACTCATTTGTGTTATTTTTTGCAAATGTTTTTTACCTAAGTAAAAGTGTGTCTTTGCTTTTGAAATTGCTTGATTATCTTATTTTCATCTCTGAATTGGCAAGTGCAGGACAGAACATAAGGAAGCTGGTTAAAGATGGTTTTATCATCAGGAAGCCAACCAAGATTCACTCTCGTTCACGTGCCCGTCGAATGAAGGAAGCCAAGAGAAAGGGACGTCACTCTGGATATGGTATGTTTCCTTAATTTACTTTACGATTATCAGATTTAGTGGATTTGATGCTGTTTATAGATTAGAATACGTAGGTTGAACAACTTTGTTACATGTTCACACCTTAATTACCATGTTGAAATTAGAGTATATTTCTTGATTACTCATCTTGAATTTGAAGTTATGATGTCCAAAATCATGCTAAAAAAGGATGAAATGAAGTACTGTTGAGGTTTTCTATCCTGCTAGGAATTTTTTGTTAGCAATCAGAAAGTCCTGATGCATTTGGGAGATGTATGTATTGATTAGCTGGGTCATAACTTTTATCCTGATTCTAGGTAAGCGCAAGGGTACAAGGGAGGCAAGGCTGCCCACAAAGGTCTTGTGGATGAGAAGGATGCGTGTTCTCAGACGGCTGCTTCGCAAATATAGGGAATCAAAGAAGATTGACAAGCACATGTACCATGACATGTACATGAAAGTCAAGGGTAACGTCTTTAAGAACAAGAGAGTCCTCATGGAGAGCATCCACAAATCTAAGGCTGAGAAAGCCAGGGAGAAGACGTTGTCTGACCAGTTTGAAGCTAAGAGGGCTAAAAATAAGGCAAGCAGGGAAAGAAAATTTGCTAGGAGGGAGGAGCGTTTGGCCCAGGTAAGAACTTTTGTACCATGTGGTGCGTGCGCACTCAGCATAATGATTTTGTTTTACCTGTTTTCTTTTCTTTGTGATTTTTTATTTATAATGGAAACTATAGATGTTCCTTGCCTTGAAATTCTGTGATCTTTTGTTATCCTTGTCATATCTGTCATCATTTGTCGACCATATATTATTATTGATGACATTGAATAGATTACCTATGTTATTCACGGGTCAAATTCTTTTTCTTCTCAAGTAATGACGTGGGTTCTAATGTTGTATTTTTGATCTCCTCAGGGACCTGGAGGAGATAAGCCAGTAGCGGCAGCA